CGACGCTTGCAGGTGGAAACCCTAAGCCCTAAACCCTAAGCCCTAAACCCCACCACTAGCAGTGGCTGGAGGGATAAGCTGAGATCGAGGACCCAAACTTCAGCCCTGACTCCTGCGATGTCATCCCGAGGATGCCACGCATCAGCCTCTGGTCCAAACAAGATCTAATAACGGTTTAGGATTTAGGGTTTAGGGCCGGTTTAGGGATTAGGGGGTAAGGTTTAGGGTTTAGGGATTAGGGTTTAGGGATTAGGGTTTAGGGATGTTATCCCCCAATAATGGAGAATCAAATGGAAGGAAAATGGAAGATGAAAAGGAAACTGGGATTATATAGGAGGTGTTACAGGGGTTAGAATCTAAACTCCCAATTCCCCTTGATTAGCCTTATATAAGGATTATAGGGAGATTACGATATAGGGGTTATATGGGGATTACATGAGCCATAATCTAAACTCCGAGCATCTGCCTGAATCAGCCCTATTATAGGAACCCTCAAAAGTCCCCTACATAACCCCTTTGAAGGAGTTCAGACCACAGCTCACATCAAAACTTGAATCCTGACGCTTATTGAGTGTGACCATACAAGATCATCAAGTCCATCCGTTTTGGGGTAAAGCATTCTAGCTCTGTGAAGTCGTCTCTTTGTGCGAAAGTAAGTTCAACAATGGCTCAAGGTTGTAGATTATACGGAGCACCCTACAGAGTACGTCGTGAGTCGGACCCTTCTTTACCCTAAATGCAATTTGTCTTCTGGCAAATTCAACCCAGGTTGAGAAACCCTTCAGTGCCGGGCTGCAGGAGAAGTTTCAGGCTGCATGGCAACTGGCCAAGCCCTGACAAGACCTGACCATCCATCCACATGAGGGACATTCTGGGTATCTAGCAATACCGGGATTCAGAATCTAGGGCATAGGGTTCAGGGTGTTCTCTAAATTGTGAGCTGCTTTTGCAAGTTATTGCAAAGGCTAAAATCTGAGGATGTGCGGGTGTACCCCAGGTGAGAGATAGGTTCCAAATAGCCTCGTCTCAACATGAATTTGAGGTCTGCAGCGCATGATTTTGTTGATACATAGAGTCTGATATGCAAGTGGCTCTGGTCGAAACATAGATGGGGACTATGCGTTAGGACTACGCAGCTGCGCATACCATTGCTACATACGAGTCCCAATACCTTCCTGGTTTTGCATCAGGTGTTGGACATAGTTCTCCCCAAGCCCTATTTGGTTAGCCCTAAACCCTAAAACCTAAATAGTACTTTCCATCTTATTTTCCATTATCCCAATAAAGCCCCAACATCACTCTAATATGAATCAATGGGTACCTATATCCCCTGTCCAAATAATCACCTATGTAATCCCGGTTTCCATGTAATTTTCCATGTTCTTTTCCATTTGATTCTCCATTATGAGGGGATTACACCCCTAAAACCTAATCCCTAAACCTTAATCCCTAAACCCCAATGTAACCCTAATATTACCCCAATGGGTACCCAGAACTCTGAGATCTTTGGTACATTCCCATTGTCATCTCGAAGCTCAAAACCTCACACGTTATAGCTCCCGGGACCCTAAACCCAAAAACCTAAGCCCTTGGAGTATATGTTGGGGATATATAGGGATAATGGAAAAGAAAATGGAAACGACTATAGTATATTAAAGTATAGAATCACAAAAAGCCAGTCCAAACACCCTCAATCCTGCATCCCGCCTTATTCCCCCCCCTGCCTCTCTGCGCCACAGGAGGATGGATGAGGTTACCAACAGTTGCACCGAGTACCGCGCCCAGAGGATCTGCGAGGTAGGGAAGCTGTGGCTCGCCTGAGATTCATGATGCACCCAAACAGGTACCTTGTAAGGAAGCCAAATGGTTTAGGGTTGAGGATATCACGGGCAATGTGTGCATTGAATAGGGCTCTAATCGAACCCTTTTTGGGAAGCGCGATCATGGAATCTTCAACCTGACAACCTCCTCCTGCTCTGCTGATCGTCCTTGGCAATCTCATGTCTCGTGTCCGGAGAAGCGGAGTGCCTCTCGCACCCGACCATTAAGACTCTAGACGTGCTCCTCCAAAAGCCATTCAAGTCCTATACTGGCCTGAAAAACCTCCACCCATCCCTTGGGAAAATTGCATTCCCCACATCACCCCTACCACACATCCCGCTCACATATCCCCCTCAGAATCCTACACCAAGCCCCTTAACTGCTTATGAAGGCACCAGCTTCACGCAGAGGCTCATGGCCGAGTGGAAGGCCGCGGAGACCACGAAGGCCAAGGCCGCTTTGGCCCGCTCTCGCCGGGGCCAAGGCTCCTCCGAGTGACATGGCAACCAGTTTATGGGGTTGTATAGGGATAAATTAAGATGGAGGAAAATGTGGGTTGCATAGGGATGTATTTTGGCTTTGGGGTTTAGAGTTTGAGGGCGCAGGGTGTGGGGTCAAAGATGCAGGGTTTTGGGCCTCTTGGTTTGTGCCCGAATTGTCTTACAAGTATGGCGGACCATTGCTTGTAGAAATGGCTGGTGCGGATCAGCTTCTGCTCTGCAGGACTATGCACACAAATAGATGCCTCAGCCATGTCGCCCAGCCCCGCGTCGGAGACTTCGAATCGCGGGCACTGATCGGAAGGAACCTGGCTACAGATCACAGGGAGTATGCCGATCAAATGTCTGCATGTTTGCCGATGGTCTCAGATCATACAGAGAGGGACCACGGTTGGGGGTTTCCGGAAAATCAGGAAATTAGGCGCCTTTTCTGGGGTGGTTCTCCTTCATCTTAATTTACTGAATGGCACTGCTGTCACACATCTTGCGCGAAAAAGTGTAATCCCTTAGCATCTTCTTGCACAAAACTTCCGCGAGCCGTTTAAACCATCTGAAATTTTCGCCCAAGTATAACCAGAAGACACAAACCTTGAGAACAACCCTCACATGCAAAACAAAAGCTTAGGATCCCTGTGCAATCTCCCTCGCTAATGTCTCCAGGCCGCTCTGCAAGCATGGGACCTTTAGGATTGAGTACTTAGGACCACACTTGGTATCTAAGAGGGCCCATGCTTGTATCCGTTTGCATGCTAAGCCGCTTCTGCAGCAGGCACCGCAATCTTTCCCAGCACCTCATATGCGTGCAAGGAGGGCAAAACCGCTTTGGGCGTAGAGGGTTACTGCCTAGGGTTTGGGATCTAAGATTTCCTTTGTAGCCGTTGGGATGGGGGCCTTTTCAAGAAAAAGGCCTTAAATACCGATTGTTTGTTGGTACAGTCTCTTGCTTTGCTTTGGCTGCTCTTTGCAGCCCTCGTTTCCGGAAATTGCCCGACACAAGCTTTGGGGCAACCGGGAGCTGCTCCTGAAAGGGAAGAGTATAAAACGGAGGGCTGCAGTCTTGGAACACTTAGAACAAGGTTTGGGAATGCAGCGTGGTAAAGCTAGCAATGCCAAGGAAGATGAACAATATCTAAGTCCGAAGCCCTGAAGCCTGAACTCTACGCATCCATCAACCTGAACCTGATGTAGGGCTCCTTCTTTAATCCCACATCTCAACCCTAAACCCTAAGCCTAAGCCCTGAACTTACTGGTCTTGTAGGGAATAAGGGAATATAATCCCTACAATCAGAATCCCTATATTCCCTACTAACCCCCAGTAGGTAAACCCTCAACCCTTGCTGTTGCCCAACCACGACCTGCGGACCCGCATCTGCCGTCATCCCGCCAGAAAGCTGCCATGTCGCCGTGGCTCCAGGCAAGGTTGGGAAGCAACAGGGGTATATAGGGGGTATATATACTGGGAAATGGGAAACTACTAAATCATAGTGCTATATAGGGATTATATAGGGGTTGGGGTGTTTAGGGTTTAGGGTTTTGGATATATTTGTTTCAAGGCTTTGGGCTTAAGAATTTGTGATTCAAGGGCTTAGGCTGCTAACTTTTTGGGAATTGTGCGAATGGTGCGAAATCGTGAAGTGGGGCTTGCACTGCATGTGGCAGTTTGGCCGGTTCGATGATGTACCACTTGATCCAAGAGTGACACAAAGTAGTGTAGGGTGGCAGGTGCTCGAAGTGTAAGAACCCTACAGAAGCCACAATCCCTGAGCAACTGGGAGGCTGGCAGGAATTGAGAGTCCTACATAGGAACCCCAGTTGACTGAAAATGGAGGAATGCGTAGCTTCTGTCAGGACGCCAGGTACCCGACTACTGTGGCTTAACCCGAAGAAGGCGGGAAGTCTGCATTCTATACTCCATCAACCATTCTGTCTCATTACTTGGGGCGGGCTTTATCAGATGCTGCTGAACTGAATCTAGAAGATTCTTCTTCTCAAGTCCTCCTTCCCAAAAAAATGAAGAGCATGAGATTTAGTTTTGACAGGAATTTGGGATCCGGGTCGTATCCGCGGCCCCCTTGAAGCATCAAACCCAGTGCGCTGTGCCCGGGACCGATGTACATGAGGATGTGCCCTGCTCTCGCAGCTTCACCTGCCTCACGGGGAACATCGGGTGGACTATGTGGAACAGGAAGCTCTGCCCTGCATGGGGTGTTTCCCAAAGTTAGGGGTACAGTACCTTATAAGAACATATAATAGCATTTTGGGGTCTGTATTGGGGTCCCCTAGTTAAGGAAAATACTTTCTGTGCAAGCGAGACTAGAATTTCGAGATTTCATTGTGCTGAATAGCGCATTGCTGGAGGCACTGGGACCAGCAATCCACATTCAGACAAGACAGCTTTGTAAGTCTAAACAGAACCTCATCCGATTGTTGCATGTCGCCTAGATATCGCCATTGCTGGTATCATCTTTGGTAGTACAAGATAGTGCAATAGCATGAAGAACTTCGTGAACTAATGTGATTCCACATTACAACTCAATCAAGTATGGCCCAACCACAACTTTTCAGTATCCTCAATTCGGCTATCATCCTGCACCTCCCCAGACTCTGGCCCTCTAGCCCCAAAAGCAGCCTAAACCCTTGCCCCCGAAACGCTTCAACCCCAGCCTAATCAGCCACTAAACCCCAAACCTTCAGCACTCAAACTGACAATCCCACACCCTGGACGCCTTTGTTGCAGCGACACCGCTGTAGAAGCGCAGGACTCGCATGACGCCTGGCTCAGCTCTTGGGCGGCCGGTTCGGAGAAACGATATTAAAAGGTGCCAGTCTAGGGTTGGGGGTCTCAAGGGCAGGTTATGGCATTCAAAAAGGAGCCGCAAAATTCTTGAAGTTGGTATCCCTGGTGTAGGGGCTGTGTGCTACGGTACTGCCTGCCTTCGATACTCCTCGAGAAGGACTGGAAGGAATACTGGAAGCGCATGGTGTCCTGCAACAAAAGTGTCGCAGAGGCGGCAACTTGAAATAACGAGTCAACGCGCCCCACTCATCTCTCAAAAAGCTCCTGCTGCCAACAACAAGCGGCTGCGGTCAAACGGCTCCCAGCCCTGTAACTGTAACATCATCGCTCCTTAGGAAGTGTCTCTTACTAATCTTGTTATTCCCAGTAGGAGGGAAGCAGCGGCTTTGTTGGGACTTGCCCCAGAAGCTGAAACGCACCCCGTCCTCGTCGGCATCGGCAGGCAGCCAGATCCCGCGATACATCAGCCCGTTGCCTTTCCGCAGCGTACCTCGCTTGTTCATTGTGAACGCTCGCTCATCAAGCTTGAAAGCTGCCGTGAAGCACATTTAATGTTGCTTGAAGATTTGGGCAGGGCCCAGTCTGTGGAGGTTCTGAAAAAGGTGAGTTTCTTAGGACCCTGAAATCCAGTTTCAGTTGTATGGAGGACTCATGAGTGGATCCATGCCTGGAGATCTTCGTGTGTGAACAACTACTCATACTTCCTGCTACGCTGGGACAGGGTTCAGGATCATCAAGGGTGGGACTAGAATTTGTAAAGTGCAACATCCCTCCGCCCTATGAACCGTGCAACTCCACACACGGAGAAATCCCCAAGCAAAGCACAAAGAAAGCTTGAATGAAGGGCTTCAACATCCAGATAGGCCTGGATTGCAGACACATGGGGCAACCTCTCTAGGGGTAAGACACGCCCAGGAATGCAATCTGAAAAAAAAACAGAAACCTGAGACAATGTCAGAGGGCACCCAGTGGCTTCATCGGCTCACAGTTGACTACCTGGCCATTGCCATTCAGAAGTCTTGGGCCGCTTCGCGCTCAAAAAAGACATCGAGGCCTTTGTGACTTCCAAGATCCCCTAGAAGAGGTCTACCAAATTTGCGCAACGCTCGAAGGCCATGAAGGGAACGTGAATTAGAGATACCCCCACCTGCTTGCGGAGGAAATTGGAGCCACTGGAGCCTGGCTCCCACCCGGCTTGAGAGCAAAAGGCAGGGCATGTGGGCAGAGTTTGAAGCCACGAGCTCTGTTGGGACTTAATTGTTGGAGTGTCATCTCACGGGTCGAGGGGGCACAGCACATCTTAACCCACGGGCGTTTTGCGGCTTCCGAGCTCGTCTATGAAGGGAGTCGTCACACGACGCCTACTTGCCTGCACAGTTTACATTGAAATCTAAGCCTCCTGCGAGCTGCAAAGCCTGAGAGGTCCCACTCCTTCAGACCCTAGGCCCTGAAGCCCATAGACTCGGCGCGACTTGCTGAGGATGAGGCTATGGGATGGCGTCCACTCCACTCCATCCTGACCCAAGTGAGAATCTCGATACGCGGATTGTTGAGATGCGGCCTCTCTGCCTCTATCTCTCTCTGATGCTTTGGAAAACTCCTTAGTCCTGACCGCACTGGCTTACTGGTGACTTAACTTAAGTTCCTTAACAGCAACCCAATAATTAGACCTTAATTGTGATGCAGACCTGGCATGGGGCTGGGGGTTCAGGATTCAGGCTACAGGAACATCTTGCCAGGCCCCCTTCCAGGTGAGCTATAGTCTAAACTCCTAGTATCACCCTTTAACAACCTGCATAATATTGGGTTTAGGGTCCTCGCATCCCCCTTAATAGCGCCTATTAGGCTTTAGGGCTTGAGGATTAGGGCTCCTTGCGTCCCCTCAACCCTACACGACTCCACCAAACAATCCCCTATATGAACCCCCCTTTAAGGAGTTTAAACGATAGCTCATGCAGACCCTGACTCTCACAGGCTAACTCTAATCCCGCCCCCTCACCCCATGATGTCTAACCCTGCAGATCCCCATACCTGACTGTGTGGTTCGTTTTGGAGCTGAGTAGCAGAAGCCACGACTCTGAGTGGCAGAAGCCACGACTCTGCCCCAGAGTATGAGAAACATGAGGTCGTCATGAACTGTGGTTTCGCAGATGGGTAGATGTCTAGGCCTGAGGTTTTCCGGATCCATCCTTGCAGCGCTTTATCCTCACGTAGGCTTGGGCCCCCCAAAATAATAGGATGTCAGACCTCAAATAGATGCACGATTAAGGGTCCACGTGATCGCGTAAGAAGGGGACAAAGCCAAGCCTGCATCCAGACAGTCTGAGGCGGGCTGCTCGCAAGCAGCTCCAGCGGAAATGCATCGGGACCTGGCAGACTACTACTGGTATTCTATGGTACCCTATAATATAGGGTTTAGGGCCCTATAATGGAGAATCAAATGGAAAAGAAAATGGAAAATGAAATGGAAACTGGGATTATATATGCTTGAGGTTTCGCAATTTCTGCAGGAAGCCAGGAAGACGTTCTACCGGCTGCGTCCTAAGACAGGCCCACCTCCCGTCTTCTGCAGCCCGGCTCTTGCGTGAAAGAGGACTTGAAGGGCGCCCACGATGCTGAAGACCAGCCTCAGGCGCACCAAACCAGCTTTCGCGATAGCTTCCCCATGCTTCCCCGCCGACAACCCTCAAGCAAATGGAACCTTGCTGACCGCATTTCATGTAGCCACTGGCAAACTGAGCGCAGGCACCAGGAGTACGGGCTTTCTCTGGCAGTCCCCTGCAACAAGGGGCTGTTTGCTGCTTTATACGCCGCGCCACTATCACTGTCCATCCCCTCTAAAGATTCCAAACAAGAGCACTTCAAGCTGGAACTTATGTCACTTAAAGCTGTTGTCTAATTAGTTCTAGGATCAATACTGGGACTATGATTATCTGTAGTAGTACGCCTACAGTGCTAACATTCTCCATCAAGCTGAGGAACTCCTTCGCATCGCCAGACTCGTACCAGCCGGCATATTGTAATCAGGATTGAAAGAGTACTCATTTTGGCGTCCGGATAAGCTTAGCAGCCTTCTGCGCAATCCCTGCACAGCGCGCCATGTATACAAATGCTGTGCGTACATTCCCCATCCCTTCCTGAAATAAAACCGACCTATCCCACCCTGAAACCTTGAACCTTGAACTCTGATCTCTACACCTAAAGCCATCCCGAAACCTTACACCTCCAAACTCGTAAACCGTGAAGCCACACAATCCTAAACTCAAACCCAAAACACCATCTCCAACACATCTCCACCGTGCCCCGTTGATACCCCACTCTCTGAACTTAGAGCCTCTACACTCCAACCGTAGCTGCCACCTTTGCATCCAGCAGCGCACGCAGTCCACCGCGCCCCGCGCCGGAAGCCTGCGCCTCCGCCGATTTCAGGGCTTAGGGTGTACATCGGATTTAGGGTTGAAATCGGTGTCAGGTTTTACACAGGAGGGGTTTAAATCCTGCTCTTTTCCCAGCTATTGTTGCCTTGAGGGCTGAGTTGGGATTTGGAGTAGTCAAGGGATAAACAAATACCACGAACCACTTTGCAGGTCGGTGGGGTTTTAAGTGTGGAAAGCGCCAAGTTTGGCTTTAGAGCTTCAGGATTTTAGATACAATCTTCATGGCTGCCGCACCTTTCAGGGATCCATCTCAAGAGTGCAGGCTTGAGTGTATTGGGTTCCGGGGTGGGAAAGCATTGTATTTCAGGATTTGGGCATGAGCGGCGCGGAGTCCTCCATAAAGGTCTTAGATAAGCGGGGATCTTCTGGGAGGTCCGGGAATACTTCCAGAGAACCTTTCGAGAAAGGCGTAGGCGGGGATCACCGGTCGAAGAAGCTGAGATCCATTTGGAAGCTTCCGAGATTTCTAAGTGGAGCTACTACCTCAAAGTGTGACGGCAGCAGGCTGCTTGGAGGCCGAAACTACTGATGGGCTCGTTTACCTCTGAAAACCTGCCACCAACATGAAACGCAAAACAACCTCTAGGCCGAACTTGTGCTGCAGTCGCTTCCTGAACAGCAGTTCCCCAAAGGCCAAAGGCCTTCAGTCTTTCCAGCATCTCGTACAAGTGCACCGTGTTTCGAACATACCTCGTCTTCAGAACAGGCTGTGGCCCAGAAGCCCACCTACCCAAGCATCAGTCAAACGACTCGTCCATATACCCCATTGAAATTTAATAGCTCTTGCTTTCACTCGCATCGCACTGCCGCAGACAGAGTCCAATCACCATTAACCATGTTCCCCAGTTCCCCACGCATCCCAAGATCCAAGAATCCATGAAACGTCTGAATCGTGAACCCCTGAGCATCTGGCATCACCAGAGGAAGGTACCTTGGAAGGCTTGTGGGCCTGAATTTGGGTTTCAGATACCACGCTTGTAAGGCTGGGTGGCGAAGAAGAGGCATCCCGGCTCTAGATTGCAACTCCTGCCTTGCACCCTAGAGCCAGAATTCCAGCTTTCAGTCCACCCCCTAAATTGCCCGCCACATTGCGCAGCGAATCAAAACCCTAAGCCCATTGAAAGGACACCGAGCTGCACCAGCCGATGCCAGAGCTTCAGTGTCACAGGCCCGGTGGCCGGATCCACAGGAAGCGCTTCCTGTCAAGTCAAGGACTACAACTGCTTAGAAATCAGTTTGTCGCAGATAATCTTAAAGTTCAATCAAAACCTTCAGAGAGATGACATTTCCACTTTTTCCGGAGTGCTAAATGAACAAGTAGCCTCCGCATTGTGGCACGGCTTGGCAGTCAGAAGGTTTGGTCCCCGCTTTGGGTTGAAGCCGAGGGCTTTCATACATTTGAACTGTGAATTTTTACTTTGGGAGCTTCGGGGTGGCCCTGTGCGCTTGCCTGCATGAAATCGCCACCAGCGAGCTCGTAGTCCATCTCGCACAAGGAATCCTGCCCATGAGAACAGCTAGATACTTGTGAACCTAGACCGAGCCTCCTCATGAAGACCACTCGTAAACATGCTTTGAAAACTGCGCACAGTGATTGTCAGAATCCACGCGTAAGACTATGCGCACACAAACTTACAAAACTCGGCTACGAGACCTGCCATCGTAAGGAGGTCCTTCAGCATCTGCTCGCATTTTTCCTGGCAAGAAACAGAGCTGGCAGTGAAGCGAAATCATGGCTTTCTTTTGGGAATATCCTTTCAATGAGGATGCTACTGTTGCAGATTTTGACGCGCTCATCTGGAATTGTAGGATTGGAAGCCCGGAGCCTTAACTTCACATCGACCGATAGGCGCCAGCCGCTGGCCCTCATCACACGAGTTGCATGGAAATCGCACAGGTCTCAGCGTAAAAATGAACTTCCTATTTACCAATTCACCGCAACTGCTTATCGCCAGACACGTTGCCTGCAAATGTCCAGCGCCAAACCCCGAAACCGCTTGAAACTCAGAGCCTGTCTTTGCTTCAGGCCAAACTTTGCCTCGGACCCCGCAGGTTTTCCTCTCCTTTTATCTTTTGCCACTGAGACCTCATGGTACTGTTGACTGGACTGCTAGCAGGACAACCTCCGCAGTACATATCTGCTAGCCATTTGAACCCAAAGCCCTGCGCCCCAAAGCTCTCAAAGCCAAACCCCAAAACCCCATACCTACCAAATACTCGAAGCCCACCCCAAGAAAGTCGATCGGGTCCCAATATTCAAGTAAGCCCGACTTGACTGTGAAAGACCGTGAGAGACCCTACAGTTTAGGAATAACCCAGATGAGCATGGTGACTTCATGGATTTCATGGTAGCCCCATAACCGGCCTGTCGAAACCGCTTCCTTACTCCCAGAACCCCTTCACGTAGAACATGGACCCACCCGTGCCCTGTACCCTAAACTCCCTAAACCCTAATCCCTAGTGGCCCGAACTGACTAGCTGACCAGCAGTACCTCCAGGCTCTTCAAGGCCACTCGCTGCTCGGAGGTTGCAGGGCCGATGGGATCTGCCATTGTCCTTAGATCAAAAGATCAGAAGTAACACTGTAAGCCCCATGTTTCCGACATACCTCATATAAGCGATGTGGAAGTCTGAGGAGATTTCTGCTTGCATGTATGTGTATGATTGAGTATAGGGCTCCGCCACACGTACCCTGACTTAGGCTCGACCGGGCTTGTCCTGAAAGTAGTCAATACTAACGATTACCTAGGAGCACGCAAAAAGGATCTGGGAAGCATGTTGGTTTGATGTGAAACCACAAGGCCAAGCTGAATACACACAAAGATAGCCAAAACAATTGTGCGCAGGCCCAAGGGTCTCAATGTCGCGCAAGAAGGTGGCCAGCAAGCACCTTCTCCCATGGGCGGGCTTCGAATGGCTACCTCATAACAAGAGTACCTGGGATGCAGCACACCTTCTGTTGCATCAGTCTTATTCAATGGTCTTTCTACGCTCCCTTATCCGCCATCCCCTTTACCAAGGGACAGAAGGTGTGCTACTGAGTAGAGCGAGATGAAGACGTCCCCACGGTGGATTAGGGATTACACAGGTATTAGCTTGAAGTCCCATAACATTGTAAGAACTGGCCCACGGGCCTGGCTGTGGCTTCGTTCTCGGCTTTAGCGCCGTATGGCGATGCACGCTGGCAGCGGGGCAACGCATCGAAGATGCCTGGATTTCGTGGAGGGATGCCGGGGATCGGATGCAGCCCTGTGTCGCCAAAAGATTTGCCATGGACCCAGAAACTCTAAGTGAAAAGCGCTTTCTACTGAGCTACTGGGAAAGTTGTACCATCTGCATGGGCAAAAAGCGTCACCCATCTCTGCCCGACAGAGCTAAACCCCAAGCTCGAGCTGCAATATCTTAAACCCGAAACCGGGCAGTGGCCTGCCATGCCGCGAAGCCATCCACCACTACCCTCCTCAGGGTGTTCTTGGTGCCATATCATGCCACCACGCTTGATCACAGCATGATTCCTCAAATGTTTTGTTCTGCTGTAAACTCACGGTGGCTTTGCTTGCAGGTGTTCATATCTTTCTTGGGTAAGAGACGTACATGCTAGCATTTTCTCCTGTGTGTTCACCGAACAAATTACGTAACGACTTGGACAAGTTGGGTCAACCAAAGGCGGGCGGGAATCTACAGTGACTCTCACCCCCAACCATCATTCTTTTCTCGGATGCAAACAACATACCTCTGGCTACACAAGCGGAGGTTGTAGGCGCAGCGTTTAAAAGGTGATTCTGCACAGCACGACCTCATCAAAAAAGGCCAAAAATGCAACTACCAGGACACTTGCCCTCACAGGAGCCCAGCAATGATCCTGTACCTCGTTGACAAGAGCAAGTACGTTGCGGCTCTTGACTCGAGAATGCGAAGGGCTAGAAGTATATATTCTCTTGTTACCTTCTGGCATCCCAAACCTCCCCGCTTGACCGGCCACTCAAACGAGAATCCATGCGTCCTTGGAGAGTGCTCGGAGCATTCCTGCGAAGTCTTCCGCAGCGGCCGCATGAGCTTCTGCAGGGTCGGGAGTCGTCCTAATTATCAATGACAGGGATTTTGTGTGAGGAGCCGTCGTCTGGCGGTCTAGGTCTTTTTCGAAGGCTTGGGCAAGGAGGTCATGGCTAGGATGCTGGGATTAGGGCCAGGGGTGAAGAGTTAAAGCATGCAGCAATCAAAGATCTGGGGCCTGGGATTGAGTCTTACTGGATATAGGAAACACAACAGTATATAAAGAAAATAGAACCCCAATATACTACAGTTGTTTCCATTTTCTTTTCCATTATCCCCATATTCTCCCAATATATACCCTATAATCCCTATAAAGCCCCTACAAGATGAGGACGCTTGAGTGTTCTGCGGGTCCAGGAGCTCCGAGGTTTCAGGTCTGTGTGGGGTTCATGGCTGAGGGTGCAAGCTTAACCTAACAGGCCATACCTCGGGGATTCAAGATTCCAAGGGTGCCGCATGCAGGGCCTCAGGACTAAAGTGCTAAGGTCTGCAAGGCAGGCTGAAGGCACAAAGCTGTATAGTCACGACATGCTTCACAAGTAGCCCATCTATAATCCCGATGTAGCATACGGGAATGACTTCAAGAGACCTCCATTTTTTGAATCAGATGGCTTTTCCCTAGATACGAGAAGCCCAGTATAGACCATCAAATCATATAATACTTCTCAAAAAAAGGTACTTCTAATTTTGGGAAACCCCGTATGACCCTCGGCCACTTTGCCGGAAGTTGACTAGTTCTGCCTCGGCGTCCAATGCATGGGCCATATACTCTACTTAGATTACTTACACATGGGAATATATTGTATGCCGTAAGGATTATATTCCCTGATTCCCTACTAAGAACCAGTAAGTCTACTTGGATAACTGGGAATAAGATGTTGACATATGTTTGAGGCCTTAGGGTGCACGAGGACTATTCGTTGATCTTCCAGTTTCTATGTCAAATCCCTTCCTCCGAGATTCCACTTGACGTAGGGAGCACGATCCGGACTCCAGGTGACTTCCAGCCACTTCTTCCCAGTGACGTTGGCACTCCAGTTCAAGCCGTGCCCCTGATCGGGACCAGCCAAGCCGTCACCTGTCGCTACCAACTTCAAAGCACAATGCGCTCCCGCAGCAGCGAAGGCAGAACTGGCACTGCCAAAGCAACAAAGCAGACCATCAAAGTAGAGACCTCAACAAGGGCACCGACAAGGGCAATGTGAAGGACCAAGACCAGCAGCACCAGCAGCACTACCACCACCACTGCCACCACCTCCACGACCAGTACCAGAAGCCTGTGACAGCTACGACCGACACAACAACGATACTGCAGATAAACTACTGTTACAAGCAATGCTGTAGAAGCCACCCAAAATCAAGAGCCATATAGCAGTATATAGAATCACTAGCCAGCTCTTTTACTTCGACTAGCTGCATCTATGGCATGGCCTTTTGCGGTGGGATGGAATCGAAGATTCCAGTCCCGAGCCACAACAACCTGGAACTCCACTTGCTTCATCGCTCCCACCTTCACCTGAAGAGCGCTTTTTTGGCGATGGAACATGGAACCACGCTAGATTCGATTCTTGTTTCTAAATACGATACCCAAAAAGGGAGTGGAATCTTACTCTATATTGTGGGCTATATGGTTATATAGTCTCCCTGAATGAAATATTAGTCACATGGGCAGTTTGCCTAGGCGGATCACATTGGAGCTGCCACTTGTACGATCCTAGACGCAAACGGGTCCATGGACTATGATCTCACAGCCACTACTACTCACTGGATCCTCAATCGCGGACTCCGCACATGCTCATAAAAGCAAGAACATTTCTTTAGAAGAAAAACCTTCATTTGTCAATGTAGCGGCCGCGCCGATACCTCCGAAATTATGGGATGCTTGCTTGTTCTGGATATCCAGAGACAGCTTCGCAAAATCCGAGACGATACCATATAGAACAGACTCATGATATGGCATACATTTCGTCTAGTATAGAAACATCACGAAGCATCTCCATGTATATGTGTATATCTAAAGGAACTTGTTGAGTGAAGGCCCGCCTTGGTGCGGAAGCCATCGCCGCATGGTAGGAACTCTGCGAAACCTGCAGCGGGAAGACTCGCGCACGCTGAGTGAGGGAATGCGGCAATAGCTACGAGCATTATATGAACCCCGTTTAAGAAGTTTAGACTATAGCTCTGATGGAATTACTCTGAAAATTAATGCCCTCTTGATCCAATAAATCGGTGAACCTCTAAGTTCAGTTTGCACTGGTACACAAGGGTTTCATAAGAATCGGATCCATCAATTGTGCATTTTCAAGCCTGCCCCGGCCTTTCCAATTGTCCCAGGAGCCAACCAAGAAGAAAGGGCCTCGATTTGAGGCGCGCGGTGCGGAGCGTGCTTTGGCTCCCTTCTTTGCCGCGGCTGTCTTCTCCTTGAGCTTTGCTCCTATCTCCTTCTCTGCGGCGTTGAGGAACTTCCAGGTAACCTGGCGTCCCAACAAGTCCCATGAGATCTCCAGCTGCATGCAGTCTGAAGGTAGCGCGGTGATCCGAAAGTTTCGTCCGTGCAAGTTCCCAGGGCCCTCCACGCCCTCGCCTTTTGCAGTGGGATAATAGCGTGCTGTCCAATCTTGACCCTGCAGGATCTGAAACTCCTCACTGCTGCAACACTGCTGCAACAACTCACAGTACAAGCTCGTTTCCATTCTACTTTGGCAATGGCCCTTAGTCAGAGGTTGACACCAGAGAGGCCCGGTCACACTCACAAGGAAAAAGCCATAAACCCTAAACCCTAAACTGTAGCTTTCCCTTCCAATCTCCCAACATAACTTAGACACTTCAGTCCTCCAGTCCCGGCGGGCGCCGGACAGGAACTCTTGCGGTGTAGGGCCCGCTTTGGCCACTCTGACTAAGCGGGACAAAAGTCTTCCAGTCATCCCAGGATCCCACGAGGTTGAAGCCCTCTCTGAGATAGCCATGAGACATCGACCACGGAATGTTGGGTGGGATTGGGGTATGAACAAAAGGTTTTGCAGCTCCAAGGCGTTCTCAGGTTGGAGTTGCGAAATCGATGGGGCCAGGCCACTCATCAGGTCTTGGGGTGGCAAGGTCGCTGCGTATTCGCAAAACGTTTTGTCTGAAGCTGGCCGCGGATGCAGATTTGAGACTTGTCCATGATTCATCACGGTGAACAGAAGCCCAAGCTGCGAGACAAACGTACTGCCCGCTAAAATGGGAGCATCTTGACGAAAAGGAAAGCAAGACTCCCTTTGTTATGGTTTGCAAATCCGGCGTCACAGGGACTGCGGTCCTCGTGCTAAAGGCAGGAAACGCTGAAATTTAAACCCAAACCCTCAAGCCTCTAAAACCCTGAAGACTTCAACCGTGAAACCCTGAAACTCTTTGGTCGCCCAACTCCCTACACACCAATGTGACCCCACTTGCCAACCATGTGTCACTGTCACTTCTCATGACTCTTCATAAACTATCACAGTAAAAAACTTTCTCCAAAACCCCTTGCATCCTTGCAACCCTGAAGGAGAGGCGTCTGTGCGCACGGCCAGCGGCTGCAGCCCCTGTTGCTGAAGCGCTAAGAGTTCCCTTCCTTAGCTTTGAGAGTCGGTGGTCCCATGTGAGTTGTATGCGGATGGAAAAGCTTACACGGGAAAATGCCGAATCAAATGGACAAGTTAACGCAACATTTAAATTGAATCTGGGATTATGTAGCTCGACGCACCCTTCTGCGTACGGTTGGGGGGACTAACAGGTCATTCCGTAGATGCTCCACACACCCTCCTGGATAGGAAAATCGATTCATTCCAGAGGAGGTAAGGGGGATGGGGCGGTGGTTTGGGGGGCAGAAAAAAAATGGCGTTTGAAAAGATCAAATGCTTCGTTCGTTTCCCGAAAAAATCATTCCAATCTCTTGGGGGGCTCGGGGGGCTCATGAAAACTATATTTCCACAGCTGAATGAGGTTCATCAGCCCCATCAGCCCATCCCTGCATGTCCTTCCTCTAAACTACAGAACCCTACACACCTCATTCTGAGTCCGCCCTTTCTGTGCACTGTTGAATCCATATCACACATGTGACGTGTCCTACTGCTAGGAGATAACATGGTCCATGTATGCTAGAAGGTGTATGCTCCTGGTTGTTGTCTCGACTCGAGAAGGGGGGGCTCCAACCTCTGCCCCTGAATTACTAGCATGGGGCAGTTCGGGGGGACACCGGGCTTTATCGTGGCTTTTCAGTAAGGTGTTGTGGAGGGGGGTGCGGCTACTCAGGTCGTGCCCCTAGATATTCGTACGCGAGGGTGTATTGGCTAAGGGTCTCACGGTCTCAGGGCGGTGTTACTGGCTTGCGTTTGGGGGCGTCGGGGTGGAGGTTTGGCGGCGACCGCGACCGAGCCGATGCACGAAACCACGACTTGAAGCGAATGATCTCGCACTGCCGATCCAAAAGCCCTTTTTCAGGTGATCTTGTTCATGGCTGACTCGGTGGCAGAAGCCGCCGAACACATGAATACCCTACAAAGCACAACACATAAAATAGCATTTTAATGGGATATTGTATTCTACTCTACCAAGACCCTGTAAAACTGAGAACATGGCCCACGCGAAGTGCGGCAACTTCAGGACTGGTAGCTTCTTCCTTCAGGGTGTCAGTTTCTGGGCTTGAAGCTTAGCTCTTAAAACGGATTTCGGAGAGGGGGTTAGGATTCAAACTCTTCAGGGTCAGTGAGGTGAAGCTTAGGTTCAGGGCGCCTGGGCTTCAGGTGACTATGGCCATGGCATTTTCATTTCGCACGCAGTTGTTCCCTTGGCAAACTGAAGGCTGCATAGTAGGAATTGCCTTACCACTGGGTCCCATTCGTACAAAGCGAAAAACTCATATCCGCAGGAGCCTGCCAAGCTGGTTCTAGGTATAGGATGATCACAGCCACACTGGCAAACATTGCACCATCATTATCATCGTAGCAATAGCAGTGGGGCGCAACCAGGCAGCAGCAGCGGCAGCAGCGGCAGTAGCCGTTGCAGTCGTCATTGTAGTAGTACTCGTATTAGTATCAATATGAATCTCACTAGTATAGTTATATAGTACATGTTCTGAGCGATCATACTGCGAACTGCGGATTTTTGCTTCTACAGCCATGCATAAAAAGGTTTATGCTACCGGCGCATGGGCCATTGAAAGATTCCATGCCAGTCCATGTAAAGCATCCGCGCAGGGAGCGCATGTACCAGTGCCAACACTATGGCGAGCATCTGTGCAAAATGACATGCCTGCTACCAGCACTGCAGCTTTCCAAAGCATCCATGACGGGGAACATAACAACATTCAGAGCGGCCCATGGAAGAAGGCGCGTGCTATGTGGCTGCCAGGAAAGTAGCTTTTTAGAGATGCGTTGAGACTCCTTGGTTGCGCGGATTTGGGGTTTGAGGGCTGACCCCTATCGGAAGCCATCATCCATTCTGTGTTGCATGGACTCACGAAGACCAGTGCTTCCTCGGGCTTTGTGGATACCCGCAGTCAGCTCTCTGCTTTCGGGAGGCCTTGAACTGAGCATCAATGAATTTTGCCGGTCTCCCTTATATATCCTTATATCGCGACCAGAAATCCCCACGATCGATTGCAAGCCTCACACCAACCAGTAGCTGACACGCGCGCAGAACGCAAAGGTATAAGGCCGGATTTGTTTTTCGCAATTCTTATCGTTTTTGAGCAAACAGAGACCAGTGCATCCATGCCCAAACCATAATGGCGTTCGAGTTCCAAGTACATACGGTGACCATAGCATCCATGTCCAAACCAGAGTTACCTTCGTGCTCCAAGTGCATACCGCGACTGGCACATCCATGCCCAAGTGCCGGCGCACGAAGCTTCTGACCAGCGTAAAGTGAGAAAGTCTTCTCTCAAGACCTCTTTCCAGACGATGGGGTATATTATTAGGGTTATATAGGGATAGTAGAAAAGAACATGGAAACTACGATATTTTAATAGGGTGCATATTTTGGGGGTTCTATTTTTTCTGGAAATCAAATCATTGATCGCTCGTGGCAAAGCCGCGGAAACTGTTGCAAAAAGACCTTGACTTGCCAAGCTGGCACAGGTATAAACCACAAGCTGGTGCAAGACACATACACGTGGGTGTGGTGCTAGAACCTGCGGATCCCAGATTTGCATGACCCGTGCCCCACGGAATGCAGGGGAGCGATTATTAAAGACTCGCCATCGCAAGTGCCAAGCCAATAAAGAGCAACAGCAGATCACACATATTACAATGGAAACTACCATAGTATACTATGGTATATATTGGGGTTTTTTTTGAGGGTCATATAGGGAAAATGTGAGCTGCAACCCCGAAGTTTAGATAGTCATCACACGAAGGGCGGTCCATGGGAAGCGAGGGATATACATGAAACACATAGGGACCCTAACCCAAATAAATACGCTCTGCTAGACCTTAAACTTACTAGCTATCCGTAGGGAATAAGGGGACATAATTCCCATACAATTCATATATGATCCCCAAACAAATTCCTACATAACCTATTCCCTGATTCCTCACTGAGAACCAGTAAGTCAAAACCTTGCTCGAACATGGGCCTCGTCGCTCGACGAGAAGGCCGCTTTGCTACTCTGAGGGTCCGTACTCGCCTCAAAGATCTGCAGCACCTGGGGTGTTAGGGGTTTAGGGGTTTGGGGGTTTACTGCGGACAATCCAGGCGAGATGCACGCCAAGATGCTTAGCGATGAGTCTTGTAACTTCTAAATTATTAATTCAGGCTCCGTGCCGTTGGCGCGTGGCCTTTGGGGGTTTAGGGGTTTAGGGGTTTAGGGGTTTAGGGGTTTAGGGTCTGCAGCACCTGGACCAATAGCCATCCTTTAACATGGGGCAATGTAGGGACCATGTGGTTTAGGGTTTAGGGTTTAGGGTTTAGGGTGACCAATGATCATTCTTTTTATATGGGGAAAAATAGGGATAAAGGAAAAGAAAATGGAGACTACTATATTGAAATAGGGAACATGGAAACTATATGTGGCGTGTCCTTTGATTGTATGGAGCCTGTACATGGAATGGTAGTGTGTAGAGATGCAAGGAAGCACAGTAGCGCTCCGAATGCTGCAAAACAAGCGCGGGCTCGTGCATACAGACCTGGGCTGTGGATCATACTAGTACCCACTTGACAACCGATCTTTGCACTGGGCAGCTAAGCAGGGTCGGTAAGACCTCGTTGGGTGGAGGACGGTGTCCCGAAAAAGCTTCGTCGCAGTTCCACCCCGCAATCCCTCCCATCACTATGGAAGGTACTTATCAGCTGAGGACCCATCTCCTGGACGGCCATAAAAGGTTCGGGCTTTGGGGAGGCCGCAGCATATCAGTTGTAATCTACTGACTGCTGGCTTTACCTTTGTCTGACGCTGCTACAATACGTATTTCTAGTTATGGGATCTGATAAAACCCCAGTTCCGGCGCGTCCTGCATTCTTCTGAGGGACTTGCAACACTTGGGAGGTTCCCCACAGTAGTCAACCCTACAATCCCATGAGCGCCCGGCACACTCCAAAGGTAGCCGCTCAACGCAGAGGACCCAGGATTCCTCTCAGAGAAAGATTTGGGTTTGAGGTTCAGGTTTGCGTGCTCTCAGAATATGGACCCTTGAGACCAGAATGGTATAGAGATAAAGTGGGTGCATGATGTGGCCCCTTGATGGATTTTAGACGAACTATCCTTAGGAATTCTTGCTAAGAAAAATGACGGGATGCAAGTTTGAAGCTGAAGCTAGAACCCTTCAACATGCATCAATGTTTGGGGCCGGCAGCCGAGTGCTACAAACTCTTGCCATAGTGGCTGGTTGGGATGCCCTCTGCTCTCTGCCCTTCTCTTTAAGTGATGTAGTGCAAATTCTGGTAAGCCCAAGGATGGACCCTCGACCCCTTAAACTCTATTCTGGGGCTAGCGGGCCGCCTTAAGCGCTGCCATTCGGGGAGGGGTAGCCTCTCCCTTCCTAGAAGAACCGTCGTCGGTTGCATTTTCATTTGGCGAAGGGTAAAGCTCCAAATGAGTACTTCCCAATTTATGGTCCTGGGGAGGGAGGTGACTACTGATGCCCACTCTCCTCGGGCTAACTTTGTTTGTCCTAATCCTAAGCCTGAAATAGCTAAAAATCGAATCCTCTAATCCCAACCCTCACCTAAGCAAGTGTATGGCGCAGTACTTCTGCAGCAACCTGGCCAGTTCTTGAAGATCTGTTCTACTCGGCCGATTCTCTGACAACCCCATAAAGTCCTGATGCAATCCCCCATTTACTACCTAGAAACTGTCTGCTTTCCTGCTTAGAACCACTCAAACAACCCGTACAAAAGCGAAGAGCTCCTCCAAATCCAGGCTTGGCTTAGAGGCAATCCCCATCTCACGCGGCAGGAGCACTGCCAGGCGGAGACACCGCTGGCCCAGGAGCCTGCACACGGACTTCCAAGTTAGGGTTTAGGGTTTAAGCAAGGATGTCTGCGCAAATCACTTTTTGGCGTTACATGAAGAAGTTTCATGGGTGTCAGAACCCGTTTTAGTAGCTTCCATTTTATTTTCCGTTATCCACACTAGAACACCAATATACTATAGTAGCTTCTATTTTCTTTTCCGTGATCCCAATATAACCGGGAGTCAGAATCATTTCTGAAGACCAGAAGCTGCAATATTGCAACACTTGCTTACGTCGATCAGGCATCAGGGGCTGGACCTCAGATCATTGAGGGATAACGGAAAAGAAAATGGAAACTACTATTGGATACCAGGCACGAGAAACGAACGGGTAGGATGGGTTCAAATGCTTCGATTCCACCTGAAATCTACTGGATGTTGTGGAAAAAGCGGATGAGGTTGCAGACACCAGGCAACCCAGTCTGTTCCGTAACGAATGTCATCAGATATTGTGTCCACGGCTACTAGTACTTAGTTTCCAAGAGCTCAGGGTTTACTGGGCTTGTTTCCCTTTTCCTGGTTGAAGCTTCCAGGTGGACTTCTAGCCCGGTTTTATCCGATAGGGTCCAGGCCCGAGAAGCACCGCGTCTGCAGAGGAGAAGTGGTCCTCCTTGAAGACCCGCAGGACCCGCCTTACTCTGCTTGATACTTTGGCGAACACTGATTTTTCCTACGATTCCAATTGTTTGGGAATGCGCCATGACCATCGCTATTTTCGGCATGGATGCTCAGCCAGCTTTCGTGCCAACCTCCCGTATGATATGGGGCCAACGATTACTGAAATAAGTGGCAAGGTGTAGATGAAAGTGGCGGTAGCAGCACAATGACTCTCATAAGATCTGAGCAGGACAGACAGCCACGACGGCCACTGCTAGCGCAACTGCAAACCTGAAGCCCTAAACCCCAAACCCTAGCAATAAAGTAACAATCATGCGATAGATCCTCCCCTTTTCTGCGCTCTGCTCCGCATCTCGCAGCAAGGTATGGAGCTCGCTGTGTTGAGGGTGCCTTGCCGGCATCACGCTGCGAAGGGCAAGGATTCCCAGGCCACAACTTATCCAAACACCATGGAGCCTGATATAATATGGTCTACTATAATACAATGTAATATGATATAATATAATGTAGTATAATATGGCGTCTGGAGTCTAGAATGCCAATCAAGCGCCCAAGTCGTCCAAACATACAACAACTTGACGCACTCCCAGGTCCCGCAGAAAGCACCAATGAGCTTCATGCAACCCAGGCCCAAGATCACAGGATGTTCAATGCGCAAGAACAGAAACGTTAAACCTCAGAAGCTCTGAAGCTTAGAGTCCCCCTTAAGTAGCTAGAATATGGCTTTGGGTATATTGTAATAAAATCCCCATATACCCCATATTCTGTCCTACTTAAGGGGGACTATATATCCCCAAGGATTGGGATGTGGCCCTGTTACTTAAGGGGGACTATATATCCCCAAGGATTGAGATGTGGCCCTGTTACCCCACAGTAACGCTGGCACCTCGACACTGCAAGCTCCAGCGGAGTCTCCTGCAAGTGGCCAGGCTTCAGGATTTGCGACGCAGAAAGAAGTAGAGGATCTAGGATAATTGGGGTACAAGCTTTCCGGTGACAGTTTTAAGGCTTTTCTGTGGAGTCATCCGTATCTTGGGTTGACTGTAGGTGCAGCCGTGAACCTCCACGTACTGCAAACCCGCTCATTGCCGTACTTTGGTAGGGCTTAGGGCTTAGGGCGTCTAGTGCAAGGAAGGCGGGAAGGAAGTATGTATGCACCTATGTTGCCAGGTCCTGTGCAAGCCGCGTCCGACGCTCATGCAATGAGGCAGAAACCTTAGGCCTTGGCTCTAAGCTCAGAGTCTAGGGCTGAGGGTCTCTGGTGTAGTGCACGGCCACTGCGCTCTTTCAATGTACCGCTAAAGCCAGAGAAGAGAACTCTCAACATCTAGTTCCTCATTGTCGTGCGGCTTTACAAGTTCTCCCACTGTTGATACGTCGGCGCAAACCTGTCAGAATTCTATAAGTCAACAGCTTCTGATACCCCCAACTACCAAGCTCTGTCTTCAGCCTAGCCAGGTTTTGAGCGTGCTTGCCTCAGGGTAGACATGACATCTTGCCGGGACAGTTCCACCGCGGCTGCTTTGGGAAACGTGAGGTTTTCTCAAATTTACAGCGCCTCTCCTCTGAGGTCATCATAGCAAGCATCATTACCTTTTTGAGCAAGTAAAGCTTACAGGCATGACGTTCCATAATTGCATGCCCGTCGCGCTTGCAATAAGTTGTTCGAGGCACTTCAAGGTTCCATTCAAGACCTGGACAAGTTCCAACCCCAGAAGAAAACCTGGCTGGCTAGCAACACACAACATCAACAACGTCTCCCGCTTCATGGCGTTTTACCCAAAGATTCCTGCTTTCTCCTACGAAACGCAGCACTCCGGGCAAAAGTACCATCCCAACAGGGAAGGCAGCTAAGATCCTCTGTGATGTCAGAGTTTTTTGCTTCCCATGCAACCAACATTCAAGACCTGTACAATGCACAATGTCCACAAGCTGAAGATCATCTCTGCTTAAATGAGCGTAGGTTTCAAAAACACACATTAAGCCCTGAACCTCCCTGAACCTCCACATCCTCCACATCCCCATACCCGGAATTTAGGAAAAAAAAACTAAGCTCAAAAAGCACTTTCGACTCACTCAAGACCCTGAAAGCGCATCCTCGCCGCCAAAGGGCGGCCTCGGGTTGCAACCTGCGGCAAGCAGCGCCTGTACCACGGCGGCATCGCCGGAAAGGGCAGCCCAGTGGAGGGGTGTCCTGGAAGTATGAGGCTAGGGATGGTGTAGGGCTTCGGGCATGGCGTTGGAGGCATCCAGTCCCGGGCAGGCCCCCTAGCTACAGTTAGCCTTCCACCATCATTGCCCCTGACTGTGCGATCACGTGCCGTAATGTAACTTGCTGATCCTTCCTCTCATGCCAGATAGCTGACAAGGTGCAAGAGAGAATTGCGCGAGTCAAGTACTATAACCCTACTATCACCCCAATATAACCCCAATATGACCCTGACGTAACCCTAATATAGCCCGAATATGAAACTCCAATCCAAGAGTTCAGCTTAGCTTCCGGAGCTGCTTGTCTCGACAGTCCAGCTCTGCGCCGCGCTCAATGGCCAGCTGGATCACCTCCACCTCAGCGCATGAAAAGCAACTCAGTGCGTTGAAGTAATCCGGACATGTTCAGTGGTCCATATTATGGCTTCTAATCACCATCCCTGTAGCACCCGACCCGATGACTGAATGTATTGTGGTCGTGCGGCACAGCCGGATCGAGCAGCGTAGTGCAGCAACGACTGCTTTCCAGAATCGCGCACGCAGGCCGGAGTACCCTTGTCCAGCAAGGCGCGCAAAGCATCTGCATTTCCAGCTGCTGCAGCCACTTGGGCAGGAACTGCCCCAGCCTCCGTGGAATGCGTCACGTGGGCCTTGAAAGCCACGAGCACATCCACCACAGATCCGCTGCACCTCTGCGCTGCCCAGTGAAGTGGAGTCGTGCCCTGCTGCCTTCGGCCCAGGCCTCCTGTTGCTGAGGCACGGGCCACAAGCAAGGCATGCACCAGTATCTCTCGACCTGTGCGCAAGGCACTCTGCAGGGCTCGAGGCAGGTCGCCATGTGCAGGCACCACCGAAGTCTGTGAAGTCAGCTCCCCGTTCTTGCATCCAACACGCACACCAGCATCTGCCAGGAAGCTCGCGTAGTTACGCAGCGCGGGCCGCTCAAGAAGCGCGCAGGGGGCAAACGGCCCGCCGTCGCACAGACCAAAGTGGCACTCTGCATCGCCGGCACGGTCAGGGGGCAGGAAAAGGGATGCGTCTCCAGCAGGATTACGCCAATCACTGACGCCCTCTGCCCACTTGGCCTTGCCACCACCACCTCCATGCAGCACTGCGCGGAGTAGACGCGTGACACGAACTGCTTGCACGGAGCCTCCTCCCAAAAGATAGAAGTCTGCCGAGGGTCCCAGTGGAACTGTCAGGGAAAGCTCCGAGGTCCAGGCCACGGCAATGGCTTCCTCAAGGGGCGACAAAGGCTCCAGCGAAGCGCCCTTGTCGACCTCCACCTCCGGTGGACAAATCAGAGCCGCTCGGTCGATCTTGCCGTTGGCCGTGACGGGCAGGGCGTCCATGGCCACAAGCCTGCAGGATACAAACCAATGTCAATGTGGTTGCGCAATTTGTGCAGTTGCATCTTTTGAAATGCTTTGACTTATGAAGCTGACTACTGGCAGCGTGCAATAGTTTTGCTTGAAGGGAAGGAAACGCGCCTCCTGGGCCTCATGATCCGTGGCAGGTGGCAGTCGCAGTGCTCTGTCAGTGCCAAATAAACCGAGCCATCCATCGTCTCGCCAGCCAAGACCACATAGGCCAAGAGGTTTCCCTGATTTCCCCAGGGCATCACGGCGCACTGGGTGACCAAAGGACTTGTGCCCAGGAGATGCTCGACCTCACCAAGCTCAATCCGCTCGCCATTCAGCTTGATCTGGGTATCCCTGCGCCCAAAGACTTCAAGCGAAGGGTATGTGCTTGCCAACTCCGTCCATCGTCCAGAGTCCCCGGTGCGGTAGCAACGGCCCTTGCCAGGCTGACATCGGAAGCGCTCCGCCGTCAAGCTAGGCAGGCCAAGGTAGCCGCGTGCAATGCCAGGACCGCCCAGGCAGATTTCGCCTTCTTGGCCCAGCTCTTCAGGCTCCAGGGTACTCTCTAGCTTCGGTGTTTGGCCGCCTTCCTCCTCCCACTTTGCAACACAAACCTGCACTCCAGGCAAAGGCTTTCCAGCCATCTGGGGCCCCACCTCAGCGGACATGCACATGGCTGTCTGGTAAACGGTTGCCTCAGTGACACCGTATATGTTGCGAAGCAGCAACTGCGGCGCCCACCGTTGAATTGTCGCCGGAGGCATCTTCTCTCCTCCCAGCGACAGGCACCGGAGATGTGGCAGCTGAGCATTCGTTTCGGCCAGGCGCCAGAGTGCAGGAGTGGCACAGACATGGGTTGCCTCCAACTGGCAGAGGACGTTCGACAAGTCCTGCAGCAAACGCACGCGTGGTGCCAGCGCAAGCTTTGCCCCGGAGATCAGCGCACAGAAAGTGTCGCCCTGGCAAGGATCGAACGTAAATGCCGCCGTGAGCATGAGGCAGGAGGAATCGCCAACACCCTCTGCTTCAGCTTTCGATAAAGCATACCAGACAGCTTGCCGATGTTCGCACAACACCCCCTTTGGCTTCCCTGTGCTGCCGGATGTGAACTGCACATAACAAATATCGTCGGGCCCATGACAGCCATGGCCCGTCTTCTCTGCAGCAGGGCTGGGCTCCAGCACCTGGGGAGCTCACAGAGCAGCACAGCCGTACGACAAACTGTGAGCACTGATCTTCCTGCCCGTCTGGAGCCTCTTCCGCGCGCAGCACCATGCACCCTTCCGGCACTTCCACTGCACCCATAGAGGCCGTAGGAGCCAGAAGCAAACGTGCTCCTGACGACCACCAGGCGTGCGGCAGGGACAGCAAGGGGATGCTGATGCAAAGCCTTCTCTTAGCTCACCCCTGCCTGCAGACGAAAGCATGACCTCAAGGCGTGCCTTCGGTTGTCGAAGATCCACGGGCAAGAAGTGATGCCCGGCCTCTACGTTGTGCACAGCACAGCCGAAGCCAAGCACATCCAAGCACTGTGCAAACAGGCACCTCCATCACAGCCAGCTGCAGCACAACCATTGCTGGACCCTCATCCACACCGAGAGCCACACAGGCACCTGCCAGGCACGTGCTTGCCAATCAAAGCAAACGATGCTGTCTTGCCCTGATGCTGCCTGCTTCACTGCCAAGATGGCCCTGCAACTCAGCTGCCGCACAGTCCACAGCTGCCATTAGGTCCTTGCGGCTCCATTCCTGGGGCAGGATCAGACATGTCAAAAGGTCCAAGAGAGGCAGTTGCGGTTGGGTTGGTTAAGCAGCTACCCATTAGGGATGCAATCCAACTAGGTGGGAGGCAAGAACGATGGCAGAAACGCACTCAGAACAAATGAAGCTGGGCCCCAAACGCAGCAACTCTCCTACTTACATAGGTGCTTTACTTGTGCTGGTTTGAAACATCGCTGCGTTGGTTGAATCTTGCATTCAGCCAAAGGTTCTGTGGCTTCCAGCACCCGCAGCGCAACGGCCGTGGGTTCTGCTTTGGCACGCTGCCGGATCAGCGCTGTGAGGGTGGCCTCGAAAGCATCCGAGGGTAATTGAATGGGGGAGTTCTCTCCAAAGCTTGCGCAGGCGTTTCTGATGCTTGACGGTCTAAAGGCTTGTGATGTTGGATGCTTGCCATCAACCTGTTGGAAATGCTGCCTCATCCTGTGGGCGTAAGCTGGCTTGTTAAGGAACTTCAGTTGTCATCATATTGGACGCACAGTACACGCTAAAATATGATAGTTGTTCAGCCTGTTGCGGCCCATCCTACACCCCGCTCTGGAGGCTTGGAGGGACAAAAACCCGGAGCGTCTGTGACGGTAGGCTGCAGAAGGTGGAAAGGGATTAGCCCAATGCACGAAGATCTTTGATAATATCGGCATTTTGGAAGTCCAAGTAGCCCGGGTAGGATGCTAGGTCTAGAGCCATGAAACAGAGCCCTCCATGCCCCCTCAGCAGAAACTCTCTTATTGGCTGACAGTTCCAGGGCGAATCTATCCTGTGCGGATGGAAAATCCCTCAGCAACATGAGCTACAAGATGGATTTTACAGCGTGGTCTTACACTCGCCATGTCATGTGATGCCCACACTACGCATCCTTCGATGGCATCCAGCGGACAAGTCTTTGCATTCGACGCGAATTGTGGTATCGGTATAGACGAGCTGCAAGGGCATTAATGGGTCCCTCTTCAGAAGAGAAGAGGAATGGAGAGAGAGAGAGCCAGGACGAATGTCTTGGGGGGCAGCTCTGCTGCTTAACTGCAAACGACGCAGCTCGGTTGTGCTTCTGACACGGACCTGCCTCGTGAAGGCTTGCAAAGCTGTGCTCCAGCCACCCATGGCTCAGAAAGTATGTCATCTCGGCATTTCCTAGACTTGGGCTCAGGACTTCAGCTACGTTACAGCCGGAGTAAGGCACAACATGGTCCAGGAACATGGCTCTAATGAACAAGACTCGTGATTCATTGCCAAGTGCGACCACTAGACTCTGCGGCAGGACAATCCGGTGGTTTGCAGGCTTCGAGTTTGCTGAGGGCAGTTTGAGCAAGGCTGCTTCTGGTGCCAGGCTTTTTGACTGCAGCTAGATGCTCCTCCATGTCCCTGGTGCCTCTGCAGTTGAACGACCTCCTGTCAACGGGCTGGGCCAAGTCCGTGCCACCATGCCGTGCGTGAGCTCTTCTGAAGTTTGGACTGACGGCGAGCTTGACGGAAGACCGCAAAGCTTGCTACACCATCTTCCTCTTCTTTCCATTTGGTTCAGCAAGCAAGCCAGAAATGTCGTAGTCCTGGCGAACTCGAAACAAGGGTGACAAAGGGAGCTGTTGAGCAATAGCTGTGGCTGTTGCAGCGCAGAACACACTCTCACACACCGCCTGCCTCGGGCCCAGTAGCCCGCTTCGGCACCATGCCCTTGTCCGTCACGATGCCCGCGATGAGCGCCGCAGGAGTGACGTCGAAAGCTGGATTCCTTGAGTGGGCGGCTCTTCTGTGTGCAGAGCTCCCTAGGCAGATCATTCCTGCTTGCGCTACAATGACTTCCATCCTCTGAAACAAAGATCAGGCGTTTGGTTATGATATCTTTCAAGAGTCCACACTTCGATACCTGGTGCTGCAAGACGGTGGGTCTCGCCATTCAGCTTGAGCGAGCTCAGCTCGTCTCCAGGACGCTCCTGGAGTGGCAAGTAAAATCAACAGTCAGCAATCAAAAGCACTGGCGGCCTCAATGGGGATGTCCGAGCCATTCCGAGTCTTGGCCTGCAGCGCACTGTTCTTCTGGCAGCTGCTACAATGGCTGGTGCCTGAGTGCCCTGGGTAATTGGTATTTCAGGCTCCGGCATCCAGGGTGGTCAGAGGTGCCGTCACATAGAAGGGCACCCCGTGGTGTCGGCACAGCACGGCCAGGGCATAGGTGCCAATCTTGTTGGCGGTGTCGCCATTGGCCGCGACCCGGTCGGCGCCGACCACACATGCGTCCACTCCAAAGCGCTGCATCAGCGAAGCTGCCATGGAATCGCAGATCCTTAACATGGACAGCAGCTCCTCACTCAAAAGTGCAGATTCTGAAAGGTATCCACTTTCATCTGGAGAAGGAGAGACTACGGCAATCCCAGGAAATGCTACCACCTTGGGGGCTCACTTACCTGGCTTCTTCTGGAACCTCTACAAAGTAGCTGCTTTGCAGCTCTAAATGAAAAAATTTTCGGAAGCCCCTCAATGCATCACTTTTTGATAGCATGCCTCATTCTGCGATATCGGATTCGTGATTCACAGTGCTGCCCAGAAGCAGTGTCCCTGGGATCCCGTCCTCCACAAACCTTGGCAGCTGATGCGGAGATTGGGGTTCTCAAAATGCAGCTACATGAGGCACATACCAGAATCCTACAGGCTCTCCACACAAATGGGTATACAGGGGACCTTTTTTCTTAACGACATTGAAGTCCGAAGAGTGAATAGGAGAGCAAGTTCATGGTGGCGACTACAAACTTCCATGAATGAACCTTGGGTCTGGTGGCTTTCTTTGCAACATTGAATCCATATACACCTTGCAAGTCAAAGCATTCCCCATCCCTATCACCGGCACAGCTCTCTCGACAGCTTCTGAGTCTACACCGCAAGTTTTGTGCTTTGGACCATGTAACTTCGGAAATGTTCAGGCCCAAATTCCACAGCTTTGACTAGTTTTCTCAGGTTTTGGGCTTCGAGGTGCAGGATAGTGCAGGGAGAGGCTGCCACCAAGCAGCTCGAAAGCTGTGAGCCGAGCGCCCTGGTTGTATGGCCTCACATGCCAAGTGCATATCAAGGTGACAATGACGCTTGGCAGCACGAAACAGCGAACTGAGATGCGCAGCCACTGATCATTCCTTGTGGCGATGATTGTGAGGACTGCTGGCAGAAGCAACTTCAGGCTGGGAGTCTCTCTGTGTCCTTATCACATCCCCACGCATGCGCTGCAAAGTTCCACCAAAAGCTACTTATGTTTGGAGAACCTCCGGTTCGGGACCCTGCCATGCTGGGCCTTCCTAAAGCATTGCACACGGCCTTGTTGGAATCTCCTCCCAAACAATCCTTATGAACTCTTTTTGGGTCCACCCCATACAATACGCCTCCGCGAAAGCCAAACCGAGTTCGCAGGCCTCGTTTCGCAGGCGAACGCGCGCTCGAGGCGACCTGCGCAGGTGCCAACAACGCATGTGCATCGTATTGAGGTGTAGGCTTCCGCATCAGGATTTGAGGCTGGAATTCAGCGCTTTGGGCAACAGCTAGAGATAGGTAGCGAGAAAGAAGGCATCCCTAGATGGAGCCGAAAGATGGTCCTCAGATCAGGCTGCACTGCGGGCCTTCTAAGTCACGTAGCAAAGACCCGAAAACTCTTCTTTCTGCTGCTGCCCATTATGAGCATTTTTCTGAGCTCCGCTGAAAGGGTCAAGACCTGCAATTACCATCTCGCGGACCCCGACAAGGTGCCACGAACGATTACGTGGGAAGCTGAAATCCCTATAGACCACAAACACTGAGTCCCAGACTCCCAACCTCGAGCGAACCCAACGGGCATCAACCTCCGAAATTTCCCTTCGAACCACCTCTGGCATGCAGAGAGCGTATGACTCCCAGAGCTGTGCCCCAGCCTCAGACACAGCTGCGAGGATGACAAAACGATCGCCGGCGCATTGTGACCGGTAGCTTCTGAAGTTTTTTATTGGGATGATACTGGGATGCAGCTTCTAAGCATTGTGGCCTGGAGTAGGAGATTTTGGGGTTCCTCTGGATATTCAGCGGGCAAACACGAATCATAGCTTGGCACTCGACAATGTACTGATGTAGAACTTGCTAGAAAAAGCCAAGGCCACTACGTCGCAGGGTTTGGAGCTTCTTGCTTTCTGAACGCAGCAGTTCCCAATTTGTTGCTTCAGCTTCATCACACCGAACCTCAAGCTCACTTGCCTTGGACGCCGCGCCTGTAATTTAGCAGAGTCCCTTGTCTGGCAACTTCGAATTGGGACAAAAAAGTTCCAAGATACACATGATACACACGAGCATTCAAAATCAAGTCTCCGCGAAACATCAGAAAACCCCACATAAAGATCCAAACTCCGGCAAAACCGTCTGATGCCCATCCACGCTGCCAGCAGTGGCAAGGGAGCCCGTGTTGCAGATGGTCAAGACCCGAGCCTTCTCACCCCCACGACCGCATGCCTGGCTTGGAATTCAAAATGAAGGAGGGTTTGCCGCTGCGATGCTCTGTTGTTGAGAGTCCCGAAGGAGCTGGGGACAAGAAGCCTTCCGCACGATAGTAGTTTCCATTTTATTTCCATTATCCCAATATAACTCCAATATACTGTAATAGTTTCCATTTTCTTTTCCATTATCCCTATATAACCCCAATATGTAGTGTATGTCTCTTGCATCCATCCTTAGGGGCCTGCATCGCTGCGAGGATGGCGTCGGCCCCAGCCTCACCGATGGCCTTGGCCATGGGGGGGGGTAGGAAGGCTCTTGAAGAAGTGCTTCCCGGAGTGTAGGGATGCTCAGAAAACCTGAATGGGCCCAAAGCGGCCCTGATCCTACTGGAGACGGCAGTGATGCCAACACTAGCAGTAATAAGTCATGCCCTTTTTCATCTAGCCTTGTTGGCCGCCACGTCCTCCTCCAGCATGCGCTCTGCAGCACAAACGTAAGCCTCGTAGACCTGCAAACCAGCGAAACAATTCCAATGGAGGGCCTTATGAGCCTAGTGGTCACGTGCATGGTTCATCAAAGGCCATAGAGAACTTCTTTGGACCGTACATGCCAGAATGCCCACAGGAGTTGGCTCTGTCTGTAGCTTGCGTAGGACCTTGCGTCTCTGTGGTCGAGCTGCTGTCATTTTGCTCAGAGCTGCTTTTTGTCACAAATTGACTTACTGGGGATGAGTAGGGAATAAGGGAATATATTATATAGGGTTCTATAGGGATAATATTCCCTCATTCCCTACTAACCACCACTAAGTTGAGGGTAGCCCTTTCACATTTCAGAGATTGCCACCTGCCTTGCTTCCAGAGCAGCCTGACTTAGCAGCTTCGTCGACGACCTGCGCACCATCAATCAGAGGCGCGACAAGACATGAACAGCTTTATACATACCCCGAATGATTTAATCCTTAACCTTGAATGCGAAGAAATGAACAGTTCTCATAAATACCCCTAATGCACTAAACCCTAAACTGTGGATACCAATACATGAGTGGCCACTTGGAAGAACATACTTTTTACATTTTTTACACTGATGCATTCGGCGTCAGCACAGATGATGCCAAAGTATGATTGTGCCAGCGGCTAGCAACCTGAAGAGATATGGTTGCATTCGCTGTTGTATTCCTCCCAAAGTCAACACCTTACCCCCTCTTTTGCAACAAATTGGGGTATATGGGTTAAATAAAGATAATGGAAAAGAAAATGGAAGCTACTACAGGATATAGGGTTATATAAGGGATTATATCAACTTGTAGATGGGGCCCTAATCCCTAAACCCTGAACCCCAAACCCTAAACCCTGAACCATATAACCCTAAACCCTAAATACCACCCCTTTCTTTGCAACTGGTAGATGGGGCCTTCTCAAGAGCCTCCATGGCGTTGGACAGATTTACGGCCGTCGGCCTGGAGGTCCGCAAGTATGACCTGGCAGGGAAGTCAGTACCATAACATACTAGAATATCCCATAACATACTATAATATACTAATATACTGAGGTGGAGACTAGGTTTGTAGGGATTACAGGGGGCGGAGGTTCATAGAGCTTAGAACGTTCGTTATTCATATGCTTCAGAGGCTGTACTGAGTTTTCTGCTTAACTACAAGGTTTTAGACTTGACGAGGCGTTAGCTTTGCACCTGCCCTCCGTAGGAACTTCGGGGCTGAAATGGTACTTAACTAGACAAGCCTGAAGCCCCACTACTTTAAGCCTTTCAGCCATGATCTCCACTACTGAAGCCGAAGCTCTGACTGCAAAGTCTAAACCTCTACATCAGCTCCTTATCATGAATCTATTGTTTTGTCAAAGAGCCGTCATATACGCACATGTATACGTGTAACGTATAGTATATTACTTTGTATTATATTAGATTATATTCTATTCTATATATACACATATGCTATTTTATGGGTGTTATATATATATAATGTAATTTACATCTCTATCCAGAAAATAAACCCCACTGAGCAGCCCCCAAACTTGCTTCTCAACCTGCCCCCTCTGAGGCAGCCACATCTTCTGCCTGAGCCAAGCAGCTGCGTCCTCCAAGCCGCAGAAACTACAACTCCCTGAGGATTTCCTCAAATTATGGGGATCTTTTTTTGAAGGTCCCCATAATACGGATTATAATATTTTGGCGTCTATTTTGGGGTCCCCCATTTTGGGAAACTAACCCCCTAAGCCATGGACTTTAGGGTTTAGGATGTGGGACTTATGGGTTCCGAGCACAAGTCCTCTCCTTTATACCCTTCCTGAAGCCCCTGCCGTCTCCTATACTGCTGCTCTAGAATCCCTGATTCGGTTTGCTCGGGCCTTTGCAAACACACGCCGTAGAATCGGAGTCCTAGACGCTGCCCCTGAGCCCTAGAGCCGTTACCCGAGCCCTGGGCCCCAAACCCTGATTCCTAAACCCCACGCCCGGAGGCCCAACCCACGACACCCGCTCCTCCGCGGGCGGATCTTTGGCTCGCTGCGCAGCCTACGGAGGAAAGGTTGATGCCCTCAGCTATGGGATTCTAAAGAGGTGGTTGTTTAAAACTGTCGGCGTTTAGAGTTAGGGATCTAGGGTCAGGTCCGGGTTAGGGTGTAGAGCCTTTATTTCACACTTGTTCCGCCTACCTGAGGATTAGAGTTTAGGGTAAGGGTTTAGGGTTTACGGGTTGGAATGGCCACACGATCATCGGAGTTTGCGATCTATTCTTTCAGGGGGTCAACGACTTCAACCCCGATCCCGCCAATGTTGCGGCACACTAGCGATAGCCGGTGACAGATACATATAACCATAGAAACGGTACGTAAGAAACATGGTTGACAATGGTTTTTATTTACCACCAAGAAACACATCGTCCGTCATGGCAGAAGCAAAGTCGCTAGTTATCTTCATGATGATAATAGAATATTATAGTTTCCATTTTCCCAATAATATTATACCCCTATATTATACACCAATATGCTATATAGTAGTTTCCATTGTATTTTCCATTATCCCAATATAACCTAATCCCAGTTTCCATTTAATTTTCCATTTTCTTTTCCATTTGATTCTCCATTATAGTAGTTTCCATTTTATTTTCCATGATCCCAATATTACCCCAATATACCCCTATATAAACCCTATATAATCCCTATATAATCCCTATATTCCCAGTAGTTTCCATTTGATTTTCCATTATCCCAATAATACTCTTTTGGGGAATGTTGATTCGTCTTGCCACCCAGGCTCCTCCACGCCCAGGCCGAGGGCAGAGACCATGGCAATCAGGGGGGCTCCACGCACCTTCCAAAACTCTAAACACTAAGCCCTAAACCCTTAAGCTCAGGGCTTTAGTTGGGCTAGAAGTGCTTCTGCCAGGCCCCAAAGGCCTCATACCCTCCATGCTTCTTGCAACATCTTGCTGAACCCTTCCTCTTTCCAAGCCGTACTCCTCGAACACAGCACGTTTGCGGCAACATATCGGAAGCCCACACTGAATCATTGGAAGAATCACCCAAGCCACAATTCTGATTACAAGCAAAATCCGAAACATGTTCAGAACTCCCTGAAACTAAATCTGCTTATGAGCTATAGTCTACACTCCTGAGTATGCCCTTGAATATTTAATGCTCCCCTACATAACCCCCTTTAAGGAGCTTAGATTACAGCTCTTATGGTTCCCCGACTCTTCCAGGTCTTGGCCTGCATGGAACGCACCGCATGCCTGTGGTCGAGTTGCGTCTTTCGGGTGGGGTCTGGGACAGGTTTAGGGTTTATGAATACTATTACTTAGGGTTTGGTGGCAGGCTTTAGATTTCAAATCTGTAAAGTTTTGAGATTAAGGAAATTTGAGAACTTTGAGCAAAGGTAAGCTTACATGGGCTTCAGGGTTTAGGGTTAGGCATTATGGGAATCCTACTCTTCTGGCTTCCGGGCCCGTCGTGTGAATGTGAAGGCAGCCTAGAGATGCCACTACGCAGCTACTACATGGGTTGTTCTCAAAATTCTGGGCCCCTTTTGGTTATAGATGATATTACGGCACCTCAAATTTAGGGGTACCCCCTAATTTTGGAAACTACCCACATCCCCATCATCTCCTTACGGACCCCTTACCGGCATCCCTGAGGGTGTAGCCCACCTGTGTCCCCCCTCGCCATGTAGCCAAGTCTCCAAGCGTCCTCTGCATTCTTGATGGGCGCATACTCCTTGCTTTGGGGAACCTGCAGCAGACTTCGGGGGGCCCCAATATAGAGGCCAACATACTAGAAACCCTACGGTAGGAACTCCCAAAAAGGTGCCCCTACTTCTGGTATTAATTTCTCAGTATTTCTTTGCCACATCAAAGCGTTGGTTGCACCCAAAATGATACAATTGCAACGTACTCTCGGAAGAACCCAACCACGGGTCCAGAATTGTCGGGAAACCCGACAAACAGTAGTACAGAGAGCCTGTTCCCCCGTGACCCTTTGGATACCTGCCTGGTTTTGGACAACGAAGCCCCAGGAATGAGGGTAGCGTTGATGTAGGGATGTCCAAATCACAAAGTACTATGTTCCTTCAAAAGGAATCCCAATATCTATTTAGCATATGAAACAATAATACAATATATCATTATAGTATATCATAATGTGATATGCTGCATTATTATATATCTGTCGCATGACACAGAGCCTTCAACTGGTCCAAGACCTCCAGGCCCCCGCTGCGCGAGTAGCGCAGGGATTGTAGCGCCCCCGACATGGCAGCGCGTGAACGCTTGGGGCTCCAAGGGCTAAGGGCGCGGTTCCTACGCGTCTGTCTGCAGAGTCTGGCGGTGCAACAGAAAGTGCAAAGTAAGTGCCGGCGTGGCCACGAAAATGCTGGGGGCTTTGTCCGTGTTGTTCTACCTTGATAATTTAGCCGGGGATGACGAAGCGGGTAACACTGATACGACTTATAAATCGACGCTACAGCAGCGGACAGAGAGGATACCGTAATTTTTGGGACGAGGGCATGGATTAGCTTGGACAGGCTATTGGGCACTTGAGGCGCCCAGGCTGCTGCCAAGGTCAACAGGGTTGTGACCCACAGCCAAAACCACAGCCTGCAGCTTGAGCAAGACCAACTGACACCTACCATGACTACCAGAAGTGTTGCTGGCACTGCTGCGGTTGTTGGTAATGCTTCTTCTGTTGCCGCTGCTGCTGTTGTCCTTCTCCCAAGCTACACACTCAGGTCACCACCCTGGACAGAAGATGCGATCCCGGGATTTCGAGTCGTACAAACGCTGGTGAAGCCTCCAGGCGGTTCGAGGCACTGCAAGCAGGCCATTTTGATACATACAACATCTGCAACTACAATTACAAGTGATGGTACGCATAACGACCTTGGCAGATCATTGTCCTATGACACCTGTTATCCCTATATAACCCCAATGGGCTATGGCAGTTTTCATTGTCTTTGCCCTTATTCCCATTGAATCAAAACCTCAGGGGCCCTGGCATGGACCCGAGGAGCCGCGCTTCGTCTTCCCAAGTCGCATAGTTCTGCCAGACTGTACACAGGCAGACTCCACTGTTCTCGGTGTGAAGGTAGCTTCTTAACACTCCATGCAAGGTCTAGATATTTTCCAGCTGTCTTCATTGAAGAAGCTTTGCATCAGCACGCTTCTTTCAGCTTTCCAAATGCCAGGCTGTGATGTGCTTTGAAGCCATTGCCCGCAGGAGATCTTCACCAGCCGGCCCCACTCAGTTTCTAGACCCTACCCTGGCGGGCGATCGAGATTGGTTTTGCTGATCTTGGCTGCGTCAGTGGCCTGAGTTTGATATTTAAGGTTTGTTGTTCAGGTGCGAGGGTGAAGGCTTATGGGGAGTAGGGACTTTTGACTCCTTAGCAGAAACGAAAACCTTTGCTATCCACCGCTGACCATGGACGATGGCTAACGCTCAGACATAGAGCATCATAGTACTTTTTAAGTCCATTGGGCATGTCATTGGTCAGCAAACAGTTGGAAACCCTGGATATGCCTCATATTTGAGGACTCTTCAGTTCGGACGTGCTGTCCTCCTAGTTGTCGATTGAAAGGTATCCTTGCAAGAACCCTTCCGAGCACCTTCGAATCTAGTGTGGACTGCAACAGGCGGAATGACAGCTAGCACTGAAAAGCAGCCAACAGGCTCCGTAGCTCCGCTTCAAGGGTTCAGCCATGGCAGCCTGAATGTGTCGATTCAGGGCTCGGGGCTTAGGGTTGATGAGCGTCAGCGTTTGAAGACACATTCATACTAAGGAACAACATGTGGGATTGATTACGAGGAAGATTTTTGCAAGAAGGTTACACACGATTACAAAGACTCGTGTCAATCTACACGCCGCGCTGATAATTCTAGGTGTAGCTGACTCAGAAAAACTACGTTGGCCAACACAGACCCTGAACACAAATACACTCAAGTTTGGAATCACCGGTTGTCCGTAAGAAAACAAAGGGGCTGGGGGGGGTAGGGGGAGGGCGTATAGGCGCCGAAGATAAAGCAGAGGGATTGATCTACATCTCAGATGCTGACAAGACACTGCAAACTGCTAAAGGGGCATGTACGACATAAGGCCGCATCATACCAAGGTTTTAACGTCAAGTCTCATGTTAATCTAGGTCATACACGTCAGATTTTCACAACAGCTGAAACCACCGGACTCCTCAAAATCCTTGAGACGGCATGTGTTCAAACCCCAAGCATGCCTTCTTGTCAGAGCTGAGGGCCCGCATCTCCGCTGCAGCACGGAACTGGCTGGTTGCTACGAGGCCAGAGCAGGAGTGAAGGAAAACCAGGATACACCACCAACGAGGAAATGGGCTGTTCTTTGCATCGTCATTCAGCATCATGGCATAAAAAAACGAATAGCTGTCTTCATTGATGCTATACCACGTGCCCCAAACTACAAAGGTGCACAGCAAGCCACGGAGCACAATGAGCAAGGCCACAGACCAAGCCAGCCGCTCTGCTTCCTCATCTGAATCATCCAGAACAAATCGCAGCGGCCCAACAATCCCTGCCTCCAGAAAGGTGTTCAGGGAGGCACCGTTGTTGCTTATGCAAGCTGAAGTCAGAATGGAAGAGACCATCAGAAACAAGAAACATCCAACAGCTATTCGAGCCAGGTCATATGGGCTGATGGCAAGCGCTGGCAGTGTCTCCCGTTGCAGCCGCTGCAAAAGCTCCTTGCTCTCGCTATTGAGGATATTCGCACTTACTTTGAAGAAAGTGTCTATCATAAGCGGCGGCGCAACATCTACCGCAGGAAGGTGTTGCAGCAACTTGAAAGCTATTCCATGCAAGTACCCTGTGACCTTGAACAGCTCGGCTCCAAAGACAGCGCTGGATGCGCTGTGCTCGCCAAAATCAATGTTGACACTGCAAGGAGTGTGTCAAGTGATCCATGCAGGATCACAGCAACTTGGCCTTTCAGGGCTGACACCTTTCTGATCTTGCAGGCAGCAGCGCTCACCGGGCGAGAAGCATTCAACATCAAAATGAGCGCTGTAAGAAACGTCCACTTTAGGTGCGGTCTGGTTTGCTTGATGCCATAGACAAGCTGATCTTTCTTAGATCCCACAGAGTCTTGCCTGATCTTGCCGAAGATCAGGTCCACGAAGTAGCGCTGTGGAACAACATGCACAGCTGCGGTCGCAAGTCGACTGAACCATCGCTTCGTCTTACTTAGCAACCTGCTGGCATGATAAGCCAATCGCTCATCATTGCTCAGCTTTTCCCGAATTTCAGCTGCCGTGAGCAAATTGATTGTTGCCAGATTGCCAGTGCCCAACTGTCCACGCGGCTCCGTACTATCCTTTCGGTCTGGAATGAAGTTTGGAAAGCAAGTCTCCGCATCATCTGCTAGGAGGGACTTCTGTTGCAAACTCCACTGTGATTGCGAGCAGTGACAGGCTGTCCAGAAGCCTGCTGCTATGGTTTGCAAGTTGATAATACTTTGCTGGGAAAGGAGACCGGCCAGCAATTTGCTGTCATTTCTTCCTTTGCCATTCAACAGGAAATCAACCCGCGAAACATCTCCCCAAATTTCGAATTTTTTGAGTGCATTCTCAGCGACACCCGGCAAGGTTTGGTACAACACAACGTGCGTAATACCTGTCAATGCTAAGTCCGGAGCGAGCGTTCCTTGACATATTGGAATTTCCATGAAGCCTCGCACAACAAGGAACAGTTCTACACAGGCCAACGGCAAAGACCGCCAAACGGCGTTCCGCAGCAAATAAGCGTCCCATTCTGTCACCGATTCAGCACGCAGGATGTTCGCACCATGCAAAACAACAAGGTAAAGTCCATCCAAGTCTAGTAGTGCTGCCAAAGCCAAGCGAAACTGCTCCTTTCTGTAAAAGTAGAAGAAACCAATCGCATTAGTAGCAACCAAACCAACGAGTAACACCAGCAGAGGGCCGGTGAACTTGACGTCAAATTTCTGGTCGCCAACTCCATTGAGAATAGCAATTGTGTTCTTAAAGATTTCTTGCCAACTCTTTACCCAAGTAAAGAGGCCCAGAGCAATGAGAGCTCCCTGCTTAGCGAGCCCAAGAGATAATCCCAGATGAGGTCTTTCCGAATGAGAATGGTCCCTTGGCACCGCGTCTGCTTCAGACATGATTTCACAGCGGAAGATTGCACTGCTCAGGGGTTTTGGTACTGAGCAACCCTGCTGCGGGCTCCTACAGCAACTCCATGGAAGTACAAGAGTGGCAGTGCCAACTCTTGCAAGAACCTGAACTTTCCAGCAGCACTGCATGTGCCACTTGAGCCCCAGTATGCATGTTTCAATGTGTCTTACGCAAGTATTGGTTGTAAATTTCATTCTCAAGAAATGACATCTGCATTTCTGTTTGCTGCTGGCAGTCGTTTGTTAGCAAAAGGCTAGGCACGCTGCCTAAATTCCAGATCTGCCTACTGCAAGTCTCTGACAAAAGGTAGGGTCCTTTACTCTGGCTGCTTTGAATCCCACACAATTATCCCAATAAAGCTCTTTGCTTCAAGCTAGTGAACTGCGCCGAAGCACTTCAACTGCAAAGCTCGCTCCTGGATGTCCGGCTCACCGAGGATGCACTGCACAGCTGGCAAGGCCTCTCCCAAGGCTTAGAACCAGACTGGCAGAATCACCCTATCTTGCTACACTGCACGCAACTGCGGAGTGCGAAAATGGCATAAATGGAGATGTCTATCATTGGAGGCAAGCATAATCTTTCTTGGCAAAGAGATTTGCACTCCAAGTCGGCGATTCCGCCTCCAGCTGCTGCATGCGGTCCTTCAGGTTCCGCCGTGCTGTCGGCCTGATTCAACAATCTTCCACACAGCAAAGAGTCTGGCGCTTGAAGGCCGCCCCCAGGCCTTCGCCGGGCTCGAGCATTCTCAAGGAAGGACTGTCCCAAGAGGTCCTCGACCTGCACTCCGCTCTGCGAGAAGCGCTTCCTCAGCCAACAGGCAAAGACAGTTCCCCAGCAATGTTTTGATTTAGGTGACTTACCATTGGGTTTGGCACCCTCAAGCCGTGGCCAGAACTCTGTGTCGCCAAGTAGCATCTGCAGGATCATTGCGAAGGTCACGCGGAAACGTGACGCCAGTGGCTCAGCCTGCATTAGCGGGGCTGCTGTTAAAAAACTTAAGTTCAATTACTATAATAAGGACAGTCTATCATGTAATATATACCCATAATATATTAACTGTATTTAAGTTCCTGGAAAATGACCAACAATAACCCAACTAGAGATCATGGGAAGCTGTATCAGGATTGGAGCCTCTGGCTGAATGACCTGAAGGTATACGCGGACATGAAGTTGACATTGGAAATTGTTACTGACACACAGTTGATGGGTGCCAACCAGAAAACATAGAAAGATTGCATACGAGGTTCTCTTCAACCTTCATGTCATGCAAACTGGGTCGCAAAATGCGTCGTACTCCACCCTCTACTCCAATCTTAATCAGTTTGAATATAGGGGCGAGGGCGGGGGGTCCATCTCTGCTCTAAAACGATGAACAGTTTCATCTGAGCGGCTGGCCTTTGCACTGTTTTACCGCACAGTCACCTCAGGCCTTATGTGCCAAAAAGAAATCTACATATATCTCCACACCTATAACTTTGCAACGCTCTGGAATCCCGTTTTCATACAGAGCGTGTCTTAACAGTCTCACATGGTGGTCCTCATCAGCCAAAAGTTTAAGCCATGGCGGAATGCTAGCCCTGGGCATTGTGCTGATATTATGATTTGTGGCGCTCCATGCCTTTGCAGACAAGTTGTCTTCTAGTAGAAACATCCCGAGGGCAATTCTGCGGAGCTAGGAGAGGAGAAGCAGGAGGAGCAAGAACAGGAGGGGGATATTTAAGAAGGAGAACCGGCTCTTTTCTTTGAACTTCTCAACTCTGAGAAACGCGCAGAAACGATAGTATAAACCGCACTAAATCCACCCCCCCCCGATTGCTTTCTGCCTTGCTGGTCATCATCCGAGTGATTTGCTTCTGGTCCGGCGCTTCGTCGCCACAGAGCAGGAAGACGTGTCCCTCAGAGTCCAGGCCTGAAACGGCCGTATCTGCTACTGAGTACTACACAAAACAGGTTCTTGGTCTGCTGTACCATGTCGACTGTGTCTGTTGCTATGGTGCACTAGAGCAAAGTGGAATATGTCAAGTACAAACCTATCCAACTGGGAAATGCTAAACAATACTGTAGTATAGAAGCATATACTTTTCGATGTTCATTTCAACTTGTACTGGTAAGTTACATGATGTCTTTGCTGTGGATACTGGGTTTGGGCCTGGTGGTCTTTCGGGGGGATCATATGTACTCTTTACGGCACTGCATTAGGATCCAGATCACAAACACAGCTGATTTTGATTCAAAGCAGTCTAGTGAGTCTAGTGCGCAGGACGCTGCAATTGCTGCAAATCGAGTCCGATGGAACCAGCTGCCGGTGCGACTGCTTCAGCTGTTGGTACGACGACACGTGGCGATATAACTTTTGCTGTGTCTGCTTCCCCGATGGCCTCTTCTGCCCGCACGGCCAGCCATCTGGGTGTACTCCGACGGCAGCAGAGCGCGCCGCTGAGTACCATGGTGCTTCACCTCAGCCCCACTAGGATGCTGCTGACAGCAAGTGCCACAACAATGAAAATTGGAACAGCAGTAGGGAACGAAAAGCATTCAAGCACGAGAGCACAAACGAGAACAGCATAAGTAGAATAATTAGTGCTAACGGGAAGAATTGCACGGCGAGGGTCAAGAGGAACAGAAATGTGAGATGTGATAGCGCATGTAGACTGCTAGCACAACGAATGGCGTAACAACAATGCAAATTTAAGTAGGCCAAGTGACCCATGCTGTGAAGATCACACTTCGCGCCGGCATGTTCACCCCCATGGCAAATGTCTCGGTCGCGATGAGGATCTTCCTGTCAGGCACTGCTGAGAAGCACTTGCTGTTACCCCTCCGGCCTCAACGCGGGCAAAACAACCCTCCGTCGTCCATGCTTGCCTGTGAGCAACAGCGCCACCCAAACTGCTCAAAATTGCCCAACTGTTTAGGCAACAGGCCGGATGTACACCAACGAGCGCGAAAACAGCAACTCGACTGCCTGCGGTACATGTGAAGGGTGAAAAGGAGTCGCGCACGGAAGCCACGACTCAAAGTCACAAACCGACAAATTATGCCTAGTTTCTCAAATATGGGGGGGAGTCCTTTGGGACCCCAAGGCTATATGGGGATCACAAAGGGATGATAAGGGGTCCCAATTAGGGATCACATTCTGCAGGGAATATTTTGATGGAGCGCCAGGGCTTCCTCTATTTCCAGTCAGGCTGCATGGATTGCAGGGTTAGGGTCTTGGAGAGTCAAAAGAAAATCAAATTGGCAAAGGATATGGAAACTAGGGTTGTGCAGAGCTTTATGTAATGTTTTTATTTGGAGGTACTCTGCTTGGGCCTATTTGGCACTCCAGCTTTGATGGTTTCTCAGCTTGATGGTTAAAGGGTAAGTCATCATCAAAGGCTCAGCGGGACGACGCTGTGGATCATTATTCCATGCAGACATTCATACAAGTGTTGGTTGTTTTGTGAGCCTGCCGAGCTCATTGTAAACAGACTGCATGAGCCACAGTCTAGACTCCTAATATCGCCCTCAATAACCCCTATAGTAATCCCCGAAAGTATCCCCTATAAAACCCCCTTACAGAATTTAGATTATGGCTCCCTTTGTGGGAACCTAACCTGCTC